TATTTTATTATTTTTATATATATTATGAAAAATTTGGTTATGCCTACGACAATTGTTTTTTCTAGGCATTTTCCTTTGCCGTCAATGTCAGAGCATCACATATATTTAAGTCTCACACCACAGACAGCATGCTTTATGATAGTCAGAAATAAACATACGAGCAAAGAGGTAAATGTAATGGATTTTAATATTAGAGTTCTAATAATGTTCTGTTAAGTGGATTTTCTAGGACACGGAGCCTGAGATGCTGAATTATTCTAACAGTTTGCAAGAAGAGACCTTGTGGATCCACCATGGGGGTGACAGAAGTGGCTGCTATCTGAAGCATCAGACAAGCTACAAATCCACTGGACGGTCTTCTACAAGGCAAATATCTTGTCTAATGTTTACATACATACCCATAGAAAATGTGTATGTGAGAAAATGTTTTGATTTCCCTCACAAACGTCAGTAAAGACCTGGAGGAGTATCTGCCCAAAAAGACAGGCAGGGAGGGAGCTGCTGATGCCGTCCTAAATTTCATTGCAACACAGATTTGAGGATCCTTACCTGCGGGCCTGCTGAAGCCAAGAGTCATCTACAGGAGGGGGTGCAGGGGTCGAGACGGTGCTAGTGCTAATATCGCCGATGATTGCTAGGGCTTCCTTTAGTGCTTGGTACATGCGGAGCATTTCATCTCGCCTCTGCGCCTGTTCAGCCGACTCCTCCATTAGAGTGTTTTGGTCCTCAGAAGAATACAAGTGAGCCAGGAGCTCTGCGTTGATAAATTCTTTTACCTATATCATCGCACAAAAAAATCCAACAAACACCAAACAAATAAACAAAATTCCCAAAACCTATTGGAAACAGAATACAGGACAAATACCGTGTGAGATCCATGGAACCGGGAGACAGACAGACCGGAATTTAATCTGTTTCTTCTGCTACCTTACATGAATTCTACTGGTCAGATCAGGGACTAAAAAAAAATGCAGAAGTCAGATTGAGCTGATGGTGCAGCAGCCTGAGATCTCGCTGTGGCCCAAGGAAAGGCTGGCACGTGCAGCTGGAAAACAATGGACTGGACCTTTTAGCAGCTGCCTGCAGGCAGATGGGCTTAGTGCAATTATTAAGCCACATTCCGAGACAACGATTCACGTGCGAGAATAAGATGGTTTCGTGCAGTCACTCCACAATGCACTGCGGTCGTTCTTTTGTGTCCGTCTTTGAACCACTGGACACGGTTGGAGTGAACACTGGGCTGTGTCTCTAAGGTGACACCTCTGTTTACAGTTCATTGCAACCAGGCTTCCCAGCAGCTCCCAGGAGTCAGCTGGCAGTTTGGTCCAGTTCTAAATGGCCCAGAGGTGAATGGCAGCTATTAGCAATACCATTAGATACGTTAAATTCCCCTTGAAATAGGAATTTTCAGGCTTTATAGCATCTCTGTCAATTATTTTCTTAGCAACAATCTATCCTACTGTAGATGTTGTTTTTCATCTCCAACAACTTTGTCAGATTCTAAATATCCCATCCACACGCATTCAAACTGAAGGGAGAAGTCTCCCAGTAATCTAATTTACTGTATTGATTTCCTGCTATGCCTGCCCTCGTTATGGAAACCTGGGCCACATTAGGAGAGATAAAAAGCTAGAGGGACTCTGATTAAGTAAGACTGTGGTAAATAGACCAACTGCTGACCTACTAAATCCTTGCATTTGAGACTTTCATTGCTGTTCTGATCTATTTCTCATCTGGCTTTTTGCTCTATAAAGCTTTTTTGAGCTGGAGATACTGATGATAATACATTCCCAAGATTCTGATTACATAAACCTGAGCTCCATTTGCACATGGGTTTGTTTTAAATCCTGACAGTTAGACTAAGGCAAAGTTTGTGTTCAGACGAGGTCAGCGAGAGCGGTCGAACTGCATGGGCATGGGACCCTTTATGGTCATCCAGCAATGAAAAGAAGGGCAGGACAGACCTTGCAGGGAAACAAAACCATATTGCCTGGACTTGGCTGTCATTTCCCATTCACGTATGACAGGAGATGCACAAATTCTTAGCAAAGCCTGCAAAAATTTTCCATGAGTCTCATGCTGTTTTCCAGTAGATGGTACTGATCAAGAGCCAGAGTACACTACTTTCCTCATGATTGCCAAAACCTCCACATTAAAAACAGATATCATAGTTAAACAGCATCACATTCTACTTGATGAAATGATCATTTTAATGGCATCACTTCAAAAAAAGAAGTAGTCCTAAAATTAGATTAAGGCCAGAGCTGATTGTAAAAGCATTGTTAAACCACAAATATCTGTTTGAAAAAAATCAGCCTGTGACAATTACCATGAGATCCCTGTCTGCCACTAGTAGGAGACTCAAGTAACTCCCTGAACTCCTCTGGAAGGGGAGCACCGCTGCATTAAGGACGGTTCTTGGATCAGCCTCCTTCATTCTGCAATCAGATGCACTGTACTAGACAGAGGGATATCTTCCACAATAGCCACTTTCTCCAGCTTGGAAAAGAAAGGGAAAGTCACACTTACTCACACCTTTGCTCCTTTCTACAAAACAGACTCACAGGAATGGTTTAAAATGCCTTCCTTCACAGACATCAGACCTGCAGTCAAAGCTGAACCATCGCAAGCGTCCGGAACGTCAACTCCACAAAGCCTGCCCTGGTACTCCGAAGTGGGGTAGGACGGCCTTGCAACTTCATTCATCAGCGAGCAGACTGCAACGTACATCACTGCCTCAAACACCAACGCAATCCGTTCCTTTACCTTAACTTCGGTAGTAACAAGTACTTTACTTAGAGTTTTACTATTCAGCTGAGATTAATATCAGCACTGCTTATGGAGTATACGCTGCCTACTCTAAGACCACCCCTCTGGTATAATCTGTGATACCTAAGCACCACGAAACACAAATTCTGAAATGTGTGTTTTGTTTGTGCGTGTTTGAATTGCTAATGGTAACTCAATGCAGTTCCGTGTGGTAAATGTATTTTCTTTTAAGGTAATCAACATTCACCCTAAGGGAAGAATAAGGGATGCATTTGGAATATAACAATCTAGGCTTAGGCCTCCAAATACGCTTTGGGACAGCATCTAATTATTTTCTGTACACTGAGTATGAATCCGATACTTCCCTTGAATTATAAGTGCTCGTTTACAGGCCCACAAAATGGAAAGGAAGTTCTAGGAGAACTTGGGAGGTTACAATTGTCATGGAAACAAACTCCTTGGGATCCATTTGTTTCCAGAGTTTTGGAGGCGACGTGATGGGGCAGCAGAAAGTACAGAATATGCTCATTAAGGGGGAGGGAGGGTGTTTTCACTTCACTCCTGGTGGATGGGATGGATTTCTGAAGACTCTAAGGAAAACACACACACACACACACTACTCAACAGGACCCACCTTCCATCACAGCTCCACCGCTTTCCAGGACTTTGCACAACCTTTTGGTGTGGGGCTCAGCAGTCTTAATTCAAGCATTTCTTTCTCTTTTCAATAGCGCTGGTTTTTCTTAAAATTGATTTTTAGCTATTGCTTTTAATATGCTATTTTACTGCCTATGCTGCACAGAAACAAGTGTGTTAATGTTTTTAGTTGCACTCTTCACAGTGCTTGAAAATGTTTTGATTCTTTGCCACAAATTTAAATTCTAGGATTGAGGTGTAGGGCTTAGCTCCCTAGCAAGCCCAAACAGAGCTACGGACTACGTGGTCAACTAAAGGTAGATGATGTTCTAAGCACGTTGTTTCTGTGTGCCACAGTCAGCCGGCATGGCAGAGTCTACCAGTGTCACAACTGATGAGATTGAAAGTACAAAATCTTAAAGTATTCTACTTCTGAGTAAAGCACCCACTTCAGAGACCCTTAAACTATTCCATATGAGGAGGTGAGCGGCAGAAAATTTAATGTAAACTTTCAAAAGGAACTGCTCACCGAACTCTGCAGTTTATGGAATGAGAGTTAAGAGCCAGCCCTTTCCAAAGGCACTGAAGTTGTGCTAAGTCGAAGGAGCAAGTTGCTAGCTGTGATCTGAAAAGAGCAGAGGGAACATGTTAGCCCTATAAATTCGAGAGCATGGCTGATTTCAGGGGAAAAAAGGGCAGTTCCATTGTTCCCATGCTCTTTTGTAAAAACTCATCCATGGCTAGAGCATTATTTGGAGCCCGACTCCTCTAAAGCGAAAGAAGTCAATGGAATATCTCTTGCCTCGTGCAAATATTCTGCTCCTATTATATGTACCAGGAAATCCCACTGAAATTTCCTGTCCAACCACCTAACTCTTAAGTGCAACACAAATTCCGCAGGACTAATGAAATCCATCAGACTAAGGCTAGAGGTGGCTCTGAGTCAAAAGTAAATGCTATTTTCTAAACAGATTTGCCTTATGGCATATTGTATTTTAAAAACGGATTGGTTTGGTGACCTGACAGCTGGAACTAACAGGAGCTGTGCTCACCATTATTAATTTACATGGCAGCAGTGGCACTAATGTTAAGCCTAGATTTCAAGAAGGTCCATTCCAAACTCTGCCAGGAAGCGGAGGCTGAGAAGATACCAGTGCAGTGGAAAACCCATGATATCCCAGAGCCCTTTCTTTAACCAAATAATCTTCAGATCTAAGAAGGATGCACACAATAAATCAAAGAACCACATCTGCTTGTCTAAACAACGGTGTCCAAGGCTCCTAGATTTATTCCTTGAAAACGGTAACCTGAAAATATAAAGAAACCCAAATAAAATAAGAACTGCTTTAAGAAGCCATGGCAAAGGGCTACAGACTGAAAATCAAGGAAGGTTGATTTTTTTTCAATCAACTCTGATCTGCTGCTCTCTGACTGCCTAGATGGAGCTCCCAACTCCCTTTTCTTGTTATATCGAAAGCAAGGCAGATAAAAAAATTCCTTGATTTACCTTTAAATAATAACAACTTCTCTTCTGATTAAGATGGAAATGAATTCAATCTTTAGCATTTTGGAGTAAGCACCCAAAGCAGTGTGCCAGCCTTTCCGAAGGCTGCAGAACTTCCTGCCACTATGGAAGACAGGAATATGTCATTTATGGGAGCGTGTTTGTCTCTTTACGAAATCCTGTTGTTGCTGCTGTATTCAAGAGGTGTGTTTGTACGAGCAGAAGAGATTTGACAGACACATTAAAATAATTTCAGAACCCTGGCTGTTACTTACATTATTGATCATAAGATGCATGATTGTTTTCGGTATCAAATCTCGGATACATTTATTGATAATAGACATGTAGGAGTCCACGAGATTTCGGATTGTCTCCACCTGTCTCTCCAGCTGGGGGTCCATTGAGAAATTGTCTGCTTGGCCATTCTCATCGTTTTCAGTCTACGCAGAAAAAAAAAAAAAAAAAGTCAAGTCTTTCAGAGAGCAGTAAACTGGAAATATAGTGGGGAAAAAACCAGGACTTACACTGTAGTAATCCAGCAACATAACTCATACAAAGAATGTCTGGAGGTTAAAATATGAAGTACTGACGTGTTTAACGTCATGAAATCTGGACTTTTAGAGGTTAATGCGATATGAGATGCAAGACCTTTTCCACCAACTGCATTACATAATTCCACACAAATTTGTAATTTTGTATTAAAGAAAATTTTCAGACAAAGATGTGTGGTGATAAATGAAACCCCAAGAAATTACCTCAGATCACTTACTGCAATACATATTATCAAATCTTTTACCATTCAGATTCAGCCAGCCTGACCCATGCAAGAAAGCAGCACCGTAAATCTGGATTTTGAATTTTACCCTCCTATGGGTACAAATCATCCTTGTTATTTAAGGCTGACTCAGTTGTGACAAATTCTGCAGTTCAGCCTCAAACTTGTTAGATGTGAATAGCACCTATATAAACAAAGGATTTATGAAGGATAACAGCAAAAGCATCATCGGTTCCAGTGCTCAAGGCTCAACATAACATAGGCTGGGTTATATACTACAGGTCTCTTTTTTCATTGGACAGAAAAAAAACTTCCTTGTATGTAAACAGCTGACCTAACTAAAGAAAATACCAGGAACTTTAACTGGAAGCTAAAAGGTATGTACTTTGCTTCGGTCTGGCCTGTATAAATATAAGAAAACCTAAAAAAAGAATAGTAGCCTTTTGGCAAAAAGCAAGCTACTTTCTCAGGCTCAAAGATGCCAGAAGAATGGAATTTCAACCTGGAAAGTACAAAGAACAATGTCCTTTCCCGAAACTCTGACATATAATACTCCCTGAAAACGACCACCAAAGCCATATTAGCATGAACTATAAAACCTAAACCTGTTCTGTACCTAGAAGCATAACACGAAGAAACAGAAATTACTTGCAAAACAGTGAATAACCCAATTAACACGAACTAGTTATACACCCGCCAGACCCCTGTCAGCACGACCCCATTTACAATATAGCGTTTAGCTAAAATTTACACACCACTAGCGCTTTACAGATTCCCTGAGCAGTTCAAATTGGTAGCAAACCAATTAGCAAAAGACCATTAGAGCTAGATACGCAAATGTGTCGCCAAAGAGGCTTCTCCCTGCATGAAACCCATTCTTGCTGGGCCACAAAGAGATTCCTAATTTCATCTCCTAACGCAGGGTCTGCTTCTGCTCATGCAGCATTAGCAGGTAGACCACTTCGTATTTACTCCTTGTAAGCTATGGCTTGATCGGTCCAGTCTGAACGAAATGGCGATGGCTGTGATTTGTTAAGTTCTAGTTTTGTTAAGAAATAAGATCCAATGTACTATTTGGAAACAAAACTAAATTTTTGTAAAAAAAATTTCAAAAGTTCAGATTGTTTTTAATTACAAACGAATTAACTGGAAAACCAGCTAATCTATGGACTTTAAAAATAATTAGCAGCGCTTCCTATAAATGTTGGGACTCTGGAGGACCCTGAAAGAGCTCTTGATGAAAATAGTGTTTTCAATTCTGTAACACCAGCAGATATACTACCATATAAACCTTAATCGCTTTGTTAATAAACTGCATATGCCAAAAAGTCACAGCATGCAGACTATCTTCCTTAGCCACCATGTCTGAAAAGAAAGTAACTGCAGTTTTCCCTGTGAAATAGCAAATAAATGGAAAATCATACATCTATCGTATAGCCACAGATTTTAGCCAAGTAACTGCAGACCAAAAGTGCCCCCTTCCCAGTTCCCCTGCATTTGACTTCTATTCTCTCTCTTTTCTTCTTCACAGAAGAAGAAAAGAGTCTATATAAAGTACAGTTTGTCCATGGGTGGTTTTTTTCCCCCTCTTTTTTTTTATCTTCACTGTTTAAATTACAGATTGCAATGAGATTCTTAGCTGGCTAAGCAGCAAAGTGACAGATGTTTATCATTATCCTCATCAAGAGAATGTAAAGTAAAAATAGTAATTTGTCTCTGATCTTTAAGGCAAAGGGTAATAGTCTGCAAACATTTAACCTTTTATATACAGGCTCATAGGTGATATTTACAGAAAGTGGAGTCCATCTCTTGTTTGAAACTAATAGAGCTGACTTCATACTGTTGATTTATTTTCTCTGAAATCAAAAAAGATCACTCTTTCATGAGCTTACAGTAATTTATTATGAAAGCTTCTGGCCATAGCATTCTTAATGATTTGATGTCTCAACTGAGGCTTTTCATGGCAGAAACCATCTTGTTTGCCTGGCATCATGCACCTGGAAATCTACTTCTAACAGATTTCTGTGTGTCCTGGTTTTGGCTGGGATAAAGTTAATTTTCTTTTTAGTAGCCGGTATAGCGCTGTGTTTTGGATTTAGGATGAGAATAATGTTGATAACACCCTGATGTCTGTAGTTGTTGCTGGGTAGTTGTAGTGTCTACACTAAGCCAAGGACTTTCCAGCTTCCCACACCCTGCCAGGGGCACAAGAAGCTGGGAGAGCACAGCCAGGACAGCTGACCCAGGCTGGCCAGAGGGATATTCCCCACCACAGAACATCATGCTCTGGACAGAACTGGGGAAGCTAGCCGGGATTGCTGCTCGGAAACAGACTGGGCATTGGGTTGGTTTGGGGTTTTTTTCTCCTGTGGGTGGTGAGCAATTGCATTTGTGCATCACTTGTATTATTATCATTATTATTATTATTATTGCTAATTCTTATTCCCTTCCTTTGTTATCCTATCAAACTGTCTTTACCTCAACCCACAAGTTTTTTTCCATTCTCCTCCCCATCCCACTGGGGCAAGGGGTGAGCGAGCGGCTGTGTGCCCGGTTACCGGCTGGGGTTAAACCCTGACGCTATGCCATACTGTACACCTAACAAACATTAGCAGGCTTTCTTTTGTAAGCCGCCCCTGCATCGTCCCAACAGCAGCATCCACGAGTGAGGTTGCTGGGCATCACAACAAGACAGAAGTGACGTAGATGCCCTATTCCATCTCCATGTCATCCTTTCAAAACGGCTGGTTTTCTCCCTGAGCATCACGGTGACTAGCTCCAGCGCAACCCTCCCCTCAGCCCAAGTCCCTGCCACTCCATGTTCTACAAAGGCTTTTGCAAGTCTGTTGTAATGAACAAATCCAAACCAGAATACGTAAGAAAACTCTCGCATCTCTCTCGCCGCTCTTGAACAGAATGTTCACGTTGAAGAAAAAAGGAGAACGAAGAAGCTGGAAACAGGTTTCTGTGCCTCCTTTCCCAGCAGCCAAGGCAGCCACAGTCCCTTTTCAGTGCTCCTCATCCTCAAGCCAGAACTTGCCAGTTCTAATAGCAAGTGTTAAGCGACAGCGTATTAATCTGGACTAAGTTTTCATTCACTTGACTCTTGCTTAATACTGCTATTAATTGTTGACAGGAATGGAATATTATCACTTCAACCAACCTGCAATTACTTCAGGAACTTTTGTAAGCCTCCAACAAAGAAACTATGGAACAATCTAAAGCACTAAAAGAAAAGGTCAAGAAAGTTACATTCATCTTGGAAAACTCAAATTCAGAATATCTGATGAAAATACACCAAAGCTAGAGAGAAGCAATAGGTGAAAAAAACAGGGATGAAGGGAAGGTAACATGGAAGCCAGGATGGCGTTTCCCTTTATATACATGTACACGTTGCCACCTAGATAAGGTCCTTCTACTTTCTCTGCCCTTCAGAAGAATTAAAACAATATCTATTCCTTGCACTCTGCAGTGGGTCTCAACTGTCTTTCATAAGCTGCTTTGTGATCCTTGCATGTCAAACACAAAGTATGCATCGTTGCTACTCTTCCACCTTTCCTGTATTTAGATACCGTCTGTACTAAGAATGTATTAAGGATTAACTAAAGTGTCATACAAGAGAAGACTAAAAACTACACGTAAATCCAAACCGCTTAAATTTGTGGGAATTTTACTGCTGGCTGCAGTGGAAATAGGATTTCACCCTACACATGCATTTCTACTATAAAAATTATTGGTCTTCTGAAGACTGTGAACTCCCTGCTTCAAGAAGAATGATTTAATGTGGTATAAAGGGATGTGGGCATGAGGAATTATGTGCAATCCAAAAAAAAAAAAAAAAAAAAAAAGGAATAGTACCTCAGAATATCAGGATAGTTTTCCTGATTGTGAGAATTGTAAGTATGTTCAAGAATGTCCCAAGGAAAAAAAAAAAATCAGGAAAAGTGATTCCTTTTGAAATTCACTGAAAAACTGGGTAACATACTGAAACCAGTCCTGAGCCGGCCACACAGAGAGCGCAATACTTCTAATTTCCATGATTTCATTACATCCAGGGCAGCTGCCAGCATATTTAAGAATGTCTTGTATAACATTCCTGAAGTCAGTTTCAAGAAGGAGCATTTGTCTAGCATTTTCATTAGAGCAGTGTATCAACCAATTTTCTGTAATCAAAAAGGCATTCTATTAAAAGTGATGGAGAGGAAGCAGACGGAAAGGTGACTGACTAAAGTTTAAAAGTCAAAGCAGCAGCAAAGCAATGCTCTGTATGCTAAGAAATAATTCCATGGCTGCAGGGAGAAACCAAAAGCTGCTTTCATATCTTTAATTTATAGATGCAAGTTCATAATGACATCCACCACCTGAAAATTAGTTATTCTCTCCAGATTGTATTTATGTTTTAATTCACAGCTGCTGAACATACAATCTATTTTATCTATTCCTGTCCAAGTAAGGTTTTTCTGTAATGCACCGACACTCAGCACACTGCAGTTGTCCCAACCCCCCCTCCCTGCTTTTTCCTAAACCTTTACAACTGATTCTTGATATTCTCGTCATTGCTGTTTGATGCTGTATATATAATTTAGCTAAGATGCTCTCAGCTGTACATAGCGTGCCTTTTGCCAGAGGACTGCTGAAACCACACGATGGCTTCACACAGTGAGG